GTACTGACTGTTTAATGAGAAACTATTTGTTCTGTAAACCATCTAAAGTACAATAAAAAAAATTTTAAAAAAGCTAACTGCATAATAAACAAGAACAAGGGAAAACACAGCTTTACAGTAACACTGTAAATCTAAATTAGGAGTCAACTAAGGCCACAATCTCAGTATAAAATTGGCAATGTCATGCAACAGCAAGAAGAACTAATGAGACCATCACTTTAAGAAATCTAGCATCCAGGTAAAGGAATGGAAAGCCAATTCTAAACTCTACTGGACTGACAGGCTCGAGGTACTGAAGACAAATGGACATAACCAAAAGATGTTGATGGCTTCAGAAACAAATAAGATTGACAGAACTAAGGACTCAGTCTAGAGCAGAGAACACATACTAACAAGTGGTAGGCTAGATTCAGAAGGCACAGGGATTTAGTTAGCCTGGCAATAACTGAATGAAGAAGAAGCCAAAGCCTCCTTCAATAGGAACCATTATACCTCCTATTGTCTGATACCTGGCTATCAAACTTATTCTGAATAAGTCTATAAGCATTTGAGTTGCAACCACTGTTCTAAAGAAAAAGCCAAGGAGTGAACACAAAAGCTGTGTTCTAAGACCTGAAAGGTTGTGTCTGGGCTGGTGATATACTAATGGATTATTCTGGACAGAATAATGCCAAAATATACAAGGTATAGGCAGGTTCAACGTAAGAACTTTATAACAAAAATTAAGCAAGCTGCCTGTGGATGTGGCCCTTCCTCAATGAAACAGGGTAAACAGAGACCACCCCTTATCAGAGTCTCAGAGGAGACAGGTTCGCTGGGTAAAGAACTAGAGCCAAATCATCTCTTCCAAGCCTGAGTTTCTCCAATGCTTTAATATTACGGGGTTTATTGTCTGCAGTGCCCCTCTACCGTGCAGAGGACACTGTGCTGGGCCTTACAAGCTTTTTCCACTGGCTTCAAGGTAAAATTATAGGACTTACAGTTTCCATGTCAACTAAACACAGGCTTTAACGTAGAATCGCCACCTGATCCTCCCAGGCACTTTAATTCATCATAAATATAAGAGAACATTGTTATTTCATTAGTATTGAAATACAGGCTACCCCTGCCTTGAAGTTATTACAAGTTAGAGTGGGAGGATCAAAGGAGGCATCATGGCATAATTGACAGAAAACCAGACTAGGAAGTATACTTGGGCAACTTGATAATCTACCTAGATCTCATTTTATTCGTGTATAAAAATGGACACAAAAACAAAGCCATCTTCATTCTATAAGACTGCCGCACAATTTAAATTAAATAATGCACGTGAGGTGCTCTGAAAGCTATACGTAAAAATGCATTACTGTCAAGTCTATTCCAACTCATAGCGACCCTAAAGGACAGAGGAGAACTGCCCCACAGTTTTCAAGTAGATTTGAACTGCCGATCTTTTGGTTAGCAGCCTGAGCTCTTAACCACCATACCACCAGGGCTCCTGAAATCTATACACTGCCATATAAATGTGAAGTCCTCTCCACTGTCTGATGATGCATTTTGCCTCTTTAGTATAAGAACCTGGATCAATCTACCTATTTACCCCTTGATCCATGTATCTACCTATCTATTTACATCTCTATCTATGTCTCAAATCTCATTTTTCCAAAGCCTCCCATGTTAAGATGTGAGACATGATTCATCCATGTGGCACCAATATACTCTAAATGTGAAATATAGCTCAATGATCTGCCACCATGCACCTAAGGAGAGAAGGGTGTATGGGTGCTAATGAGCCCCAAGGCAAGGCAGCAGAGCTGCCTTTCAGCTCTGAGTAGACAGATGAACTCAGGATTTGATTCCTCTCAGCCATATTACCCAGGGTGCATCAAGGCCCTCCTTGGTCCTCAGCTCTCTGAAGCTAGCCTGCCCTTGGCATTCTGTTATATTGAACCATATAAACTACTGTTTCTAAAGTGTCAAAAATAGTCAAAATATGGATTATCATTCAACCTAATATATCCACAATTCTGAATTTATAAATTTAATTAGGAAGAGGGAATGAGGTCAACATGAAGGTTATCGGCCTTCAGCCAGGTAAGCCATAGGAAATCAATTTCCTGCCAAATCAATGTTTTAAATATGAAATTCTGCTTATAAGCTCACTAGGAGATAGCTATTCTTTACTAGATGAGGTGTCCCATTCTACAACATTCTATACACTAGTGTGGCTCAAGTATCCATTTTTATAGACACATGACAACAACATGAACAAGGATATGTTACCTAAAAATTCAGTGCCATGAAAGGTCTCAAGTACCTGATAAAAAGGAAGATGCGGTATATGGTTCTAAAATGTGAAATGACAAAGCAGGAAAAATACATGCCCTAAGAATTCCCAAAGAGATAAGTGAGAGTTAATCCCTTTAGAGAAATCTGAAAGGGTTAAGCTATGCTACTTCCTAGCAGTGAAAGCTCATCAGTACCACGACTGATTATTTATTAAAGGTTATTTATGTGCTGCAGTTTGAGCTTGCCTACTAAGTTTTAATAGACTATGCAATAGCTCCTTAAAAATCCTTATACAAATAAAAGTTTTCAAGCTATCTAAAGATTCACACATTTATATAAATGAAATTCTCCTATAATTAAACTTGAAGAAAGAAAACTACAAGGATTTAGGTATTAGCATTCCTTGTTATTAAAAATGTAATTAATTTCCATCACAGTAAATTAAAGAGGTACCTTTCATCTTTAGTGGACAGTAATGGAAACTCACTTATGTATATGTATATTTATTTACTAAGGTGATATAACTGTCATTGCATGATGTTTTAACATTTTGTTTCAAGAGAAAAAGAGAATTAACAACTGAATAACAAACATACACAATTAAAAGAAATTTTCTTACCTGTAATACAAATTTCTGATCTATGTATTTTTTGGCAATGCTGGGTTGGAATTCTTGGCTTTCCAAAAATCGTATGAAAAATTCATATACAAGCTGCAACAAACAGATTACAGTTAATTTCAAAATATGATTCACTGAGAATAGTATTAATAATCACGAAAAGCCTAAACACTAAAACTGTCATCAGGACTTTGGAAAACTTGGATTTTAACATCAACCTACAAGCCCTCCTAGCCTTTCTTGTGGTTCACATTTGCTGTTACATTTTTTAACTTTCTAAATAGAAAATTAGAAAATATAGCCAAACAAAACAATAATAATTTCCCATATTCTCACCATTCTAAGATAACCATTAACATTTTAATGTATATACTTCCACATTTTTCTCTATGCTTCTACAACATACCAGTGTACCAAAAATATATTTTTACATAGTTTTGCAAACTACTCTTATCATTTAAACAATATATTGTGAATGTTTTAAGTCAAAAATATCTAAACCATCGTTCTTAGTAGCTCTGAGTAGTCCATTACACATACTTTACAATGAATAATTCTATTATTCATAATTAATTTAACCAATCTCCTATGCTTTTAAGTTGTCTGTAAATTACTTCTGTATCAAATTATTTTGCAATGTGCGTCATATAGGGCATCAGTGTACACTTGTTCAATTATTTCATGAGAAAATATTTCTAAAAGTGGAACTGCTAGGTCAAAAGATACCTATTTCAGGTTTTTGATACTCAACTTTCCTTACAGAAAATTTATGGTAATTTATACTCCTCCTAGCAAAATATGATGGTGTGGTACAATGTTCTCACCTGCAAAAAGTAAGAAAATGGGCAACTTCAAATAACTCTTCTGATAAACAGTGAGGGATCACTGTTTATGCTTCCTGCATAATAAATTTATGTTAAATGCTCCATTAGATACTGGTGTAGTATACAACAGGAGTCAAGACCAGAGCTTTAAAGAGACAGATGTTGGATCAGAAGCCTACCTCTATCCCTTAGTAACTGTGTAAGCCTTGGCAAGATCTCTTAGTAACTGTGTAAATTACTTAACTTCTCTGAACCTCTGTTCCTTCATCTGCATAATGGGGATGACAATGCCTAGGATTAAATGTGATAATACATGTAAAGCCCTCTGCACAGTGACTAGCACATACCACCACTGTCATTATTGCTTACACCACTGTCATTATTGCTTTCAAACTTTCTGGTCTCCTTTACACTTAAAAATTATTAAGGATTCAAACAGCCTCTGTTTAGATGCTAGATCTCAAATATATGTACTTTATCATTTTAATTTAAAACAATGAAATATACAACATAAATGTGAACATTTTTGTGAAAAATAACTTTATTTTCCAAAACAATACTGAGAAGAGAGGAACTGTTACATTTTTGTAAATCCCTTTAATGTCTCGCTGAGGACAGCTAGATTCTCATCTGCTTCTGTATTCCATCCTCACACAGATCCAGTAATTGAAGAAGGGGAGAGTATTTAATAGTCTTTTCATATAACTGTGGATATTTTTATTTGATACTACACTAAAACTTGACAAACAATAGTTTCTTAAAGGTAGCTACAATGTGGAATCTGAAACCACATTAATAAACTTTTCATACTCTTACAATAAAATTCAATCATCTACCTTGCACTGTGAATGGATCTTTTTATCTGTGCATAGTTTTCTAATATCATTCATTGGCCAGTTAGAAAATACTGGTTCACTAATTATGCAGATCTTTTTAGACACTGTCACATTTAATTATACAGCATTCAAAATAAAACAAAAACAAACAAAAAAACACATTCTTTAAAATCATCTCCAACTTTATCAAAAAAGTCTAAGCTTTTGGAAGGTGCCAAGCTCAAGGTGAGAGATACAAGTTATCCAAGATTCTAATTCTAAATTCTGCTTGAAATCTCTAATTTTAGCAATAAAACAAATACTGTCAATTGTTTTCCTTGTTTGTTTTACAGACAATATCCTCCAAATACCCAAGTTAGAATAACCATAGTTTGTCTGTTAGTTGTTGTTGTTGTTTCAAGTAAAAATATTTTATGGAAAAGTGGCTAGTTTAGCTTGCAACTCGAAACAACTACGCAAATGCTCTCCACCAGGCAACCATCATACTTTGTTCAGTATGCAACAGATTTGCTTTATGCATAATTCCCATTCTGTAACACAGAATACTAAAAAAAATTTAAAAACAAATGTGTACTCAAGGGTCAAGATTTAATAAAATTACAGCTTCTTCAAAGACATTCTTAAGTGTAATCGGCTTTTTTTTTTTTTTTTTTTTTTAATTTTAAGTGCACAGCAGTGAAGAATACAACAACTAACTAGACTAGTTTGGTACAACTGCCTTGATGTGTGCTAAGGCAACAGCAGTTTTACCCACCATGGGTTTTACAACTATTAGGGCAAATATCAACAAAGTGAGAAGAGTAGATAATGTGGTATTATAATAAAAGTAGTTTTGACCTCGTGAGCTAGTGAAAATCAAGTCTCAGGGCACCCCAATGGTCGGCAGATCCCACTGGTCTAAAATGCTTCCTGTAATACTCTCATGACTTAAGGCCCTAAGTTAACACTTAAATTAGATATTCACATCACTAGTGTTTTACTACTTTATGAAACTACATTTTTCTCTTTGAAACTATCTGAATTCAGAAAGACTTCTTTTCCAATGGTCTGAAGGTTGTCAAGTTTTACATGCTCTTCCAGTCAAAAAAAAAACAAAAAATACCAGAGTCCAAACACCTCACAGAAAAGCTTTTTCTTCAATATACTAATCTTTCACCTATTAGTTTTACAAATAGAATGTAACCTTTATTCAAACGATCCTATAAAAGAGGGTTTCATCACTGTTTTATTTCCCACACAGTGGAGAGATTCTCATCTTCCAAGCCTGACTTGTGGGCTGGCAGGGCTTTCCAGTGGGATTGGCAAAGCGCTCTCTCCCCCTTCTGGTCCCTTGAAAGCAGTTATGTTAAAATGGTTTGGTGGAAACACTTCAGACACATTTATTAATAAGAGTAAATTGTTCTCTGCACTTAAGGGACAGGTTTTACCTCAGAATCAAAAATCTCCCCTGAGTTTCTAGAGGGAAAGATTGGGGGTTGGAGAAAATAAATTACTTTACAAGGTTACATAAGTGAATTTTCCAAGGGACATGAATAAAGAGATTTCAGTATTCTTGTGTTTCAATTTCAAGTGTGAAGCATTAAAAAACAATCCCTTAATTATAAATGGAAGTCCTACAAAATCATATTCTACTTGAAAGATAAACCCAATTTCAGAAAATACACAAATAACCATGTTGACTGTGTGATACCAGTTTAAAAGGTACAAATACAGATAACAGAAAAGATCAAATAACACACATACAGTAGGCCCTCTGACAAACTGAATTAAAAATTTGTGGATTTAAGAGGCACTTTTTTCTTTATCTCAAACATTCCCCCCAAAGATTCATGACTTGTTATATATTAAGTGCCATGACTTGTTATAATAAGTGACTTTGTGTATACCACAAATTTAAATCAAAGAAGGGATGTACAGGAACAGTCAATTAGCTGGGCAATAAACCTAGCAAACCACCCAACAACTACATCTCAGTGCAACTTTGTTGTTCTCCATAGTGTCAGATATTTGGTAATAAGCACTTTGCTTCCTTGGGAACTATGGTCCAGAAAAGGAAGCAAACTAGTAACGGTAGAGTTAAGAAACAGTAAAAAAAAAAAAAAAAAAGTCTGAGAAACTACTGTGTTGGGTGAGAAAAATAGATGATTGGATCAATTAAAAAGTAAAATGTTGAATTTAGTGAATGATTCATCATGAACAGAAAAAGAGATTTCTTAAATGTTCAAAGAATGCTGTAGTCAGTATAAAAAACTAACAATGAAAATGCAAAGGTGACTAATTTGTGGAATGAGAATACACAAAGCAAACACAAGACTGTTGAGAAAAGTCAGGAACCTGTCCAGACTTCCATAAAGCAACAGATGGCAAAGGTACCAGGGCAACCAGGGCACCTACTGACCTGAGCTTTACCATGAGTAAAGGCTCATTTCTGTATTTTAAGGGTGGGTTTCCTTCACCTGATCCAGTATTAATTAGCTGACCATATTTCCCCGTAAACTGAAGAAGGGAGGAGAAGGACTATAGGCTAGAACAGACTGTCAGCACAGATGAAACCAGCCCATTTTGGAATACAGTTTGTGACTTCATATCCAAAACGGTACAGGTCTCATCCTCTTTACTCACTGTTAGTTTGGATTTAGAGTTTCAAATGAACTAATGACTAATGTTACTGCAGTGACAACAGTATAATCTAGAGTATTTTTGGTGACAGAATTTAGTTTAATAGGTTCAGAAATTAATTCAGTCCTGTATTTTATAGAGTCATTAAGTATAGGAAGGATTAACTGAAATACTGAGTTCAACTTTATTGTACTTTAGGGGAAATTTATATGCTCTGGTGATCATGATTTGGAGCATTCGAAAGCTCTTGAAAATTGCGAGAGTGGTCTACTGTCTCTTCTCCGGGGTGCAGAGAAGACAAGTTAAACCTTTCAAGACCTTTCTCTCCCTGTTTTCTCAACCATAATATGTGGGGCTTTCCTGAGGAGATAATCATTTTTCTAAGTTTCTCCCAGACTAAACTGCAATTCTTTGAACTGGTGCCAAGCAATAAGAGTAAGACATCACAAGAAAGAAATCCACCCATCCAAAAGGGTAATGGGGGTGGGTGGTAGTTTCTGCCACAATCTGGGATGTACTTATAAAAAGCACAAATTGCAAATAGTATGTCTAGCACCTAAAAAAAAAAAAATCGAACATCTGAGATAGTATATCAACTACAGTGTTTTAATGAATTTACCCAATCTTGGCACTGATAGCAAGTAATACATATGTATAACATGCCTGGGTAAGAGATGAGAAAACAGAGTGCTCCCCTCAAGCTCTCTCCATAACTAGGGGAAATGGCACACTTACGTATCTGCAGCAACCTTGAGTTGCCAAAACGGGACAAGCAAAGTTATAAACTTATGTCAAAAATTCTGAAGTGGAGAAAAAATAAATAAACTATTAGAATATCTCTAGGCCTTATCTCCTTGCTGCACAGTTGTCTGCTATTCAAAAAGTCAACTAACACACTTCTACAAAGACACAGTGGCTTCTGCCTGAGGGTGAGGGTGTACAAGGTTATTTGTCATACTGCCTTTGAGGGCACTCTGACTCTATGGAAAGATGCCTTAGGGGTCATTACATTCAGATTCCCTTGTTTTACTTCTTTGAGAAATGCTGCACTTGAGAGAAGACAGCCAGGAAAGAAAGAGATTAGAAAATGACCAGTATGTATAAGTACATACAATACAGATAGGCCGAGTCTGGGAAAGGAGATACAGGGATGCCCCCAATCCTTCCTGGCACATGAGTATGACTGGAACGCCTGCCTTCTTAGTGCAAGAGAACAAAACTGGCCTTCACACAAGCTTTCCTTCAGCTATTGCTCTTCCTTGCTACATTGTGAAAGAAATAGCTATTGCAATTTGCTTTTGCCCTTCCAGGCTAAAGGAAACACATTTGTGGTTATCATGAAGACAGGCATAAAAAGTCCCCAGGGTAGCTGCTAAAAATGAGATATGTACTCTGTGACCTAATCACATCCAACTGACAATAATGCAAAACAGTCCTGTTCTTGTTTGAGGCTCTAGTGGCAAGATCACACAGAAGCTACAGGACAAGAATGAGCACTGCTGGCTGGGCTTCCAACATGGGAGGAACCACCGTAAAGCATTACATTCAAACATACTATTTCATTCTTTTTGCATCCTAATTATCAAGAGTAAGAAACATGAAAAGCAAGCAATCTCCAGTTTTCCATTAATGTACTTTAATTTGATTTCTTGGTGAATAAAGGCTTTAAAGGAAATCCCATGCTAATTATCTAATGAGTTTATGAACTTTTCTTTTATAACAAATGGTAGTTCAAGGTACCTGTAAGTGTGGCCACGATGCCTCAAGCGTAGGTTCATCTTCTTCTGGATCAAATTCGTTGCTGTCACTGGGAGGGAGAGTTCTGAATATATTGCAAGATACCTAAAAATAAACAAGCAGCAGCGTTAGCTGGAACCCCCTTCTGGCCAGCCTTACACAAGGTCCTCGCAGCCAGCTAAAGGGAACCCAGATGACAGTGCACAGGGAGTACCACCAAACTGGAACCAGAACCTCCTTCTACAGGGCCTGGGGCGAGGACCACCTCTGGGCAAAGCTGGAAATAGTAAAGTAGCTCCTTTCTACCTTCTCTACCAGTACTCCTCCTTACCTGGCCACCCCCATTCCAGATCCCAGTGACTTTATACTCTCCATCAAAGCCTGCTCTTGGGTACTTACCAGTCAAGCAAGCTTCTAATTAACCAATTTACACTAAGATATAAATAACTGCTAATGGGCTTCACATACTTCCCCTCTCAGGCCTATTTGCAATTTGCAAATTAACTGTTAAGCTAATGGTAAAATTTCAGGCATTCACAAAAAAGTAAATAAGAAAAGATATTTCAGAACCTTTCTAACTTCCTTTTAACCAGTTCAACCCTCTGCTGAGAATAGGCATTTCCACCCCAGATATACTGACTCAGAATCTACATTTTAACAAGATTCCCAGGTGGTTCTTATGGATCCCCAGGGTCTTGTTAAAATGTAGGCTCTGATTCAGTATATCTGGGGTGGAAATGCAAATTCTCAACAGGGGGTCAAACCAGACCGAACCAGTTCAAAGCTCTGCCTTAAAATCGTACCTAGTCTGTTCTCAGTTGGTTTACAAAATAGTAACAATGCCCAGCAAAAGACAGATCTGTGGTACAAATTTCCACAAACTAGACAGTCCGTTTTCATAGACAATTTCCAAATTAAATGCGGGCTGTTCAAAGAAAGGCCATAACTGATAACTGCTGAAACAGGACAATGAAAAGTTGAGGATTCATTTTACTACTCTGCTACTTTGCTACATATTCTATGTTTTCTATAGTAAAATGTTTTTAATGCTCTTGTTAACTATTCTCAGGGTTCCTTTTCAATTTTCTATTTCTTGTCCTATTTACTCAGCTATCCTTTCCTAATGACCCAAATATATCTGTAGATTCAAATAAAGTAGGAAAGAAGGGGAAATACATGTAGAAGGCAAGAAGAGGGGGGAAAAAAAGAGAGACTGCACCAGAAGCCTTTGCTAGACTTTCTATATAATGCAGAAAATACTAAGCTAGAATATGCTGCTCTGAGAGAGGAAGAGGAAGAGGCTTATGGGGGCCCATATATTTTGTGTTTATTCATTCACTAAAATATTTATGTCCCTATTATTTGCATACACTGTTCTGGACACTGGGAAAATAGTAGTGAACAAAGCAGATAAAAATCCCTCCCTCATGGAGCTTATATTCTAGTTAAAGTCACTGTTATCCCCATTTCATATCTATAAAAACTGAACCCAGAGTCATACAGCTGGTAAGTAGAAGAGCCTGTATGAACCCAGGCAGTCTGACTCCCAGTCACTGTGACAAACAAGCCCAGACCTCAGAAATACTCCTCTACTCTGAAGAACTACAAAAGTCTTCTGTTGGGCCTCCCAGGCTCTAGTCCTGTCCCCTTCCCATCCATCCTCTACATGCCCTCAACCAGTGTGGTCTCTAAAAGGTAAATGTGAGCATGTAACACACCTGGGTATATACCACAAGAGTTCTCTGCCTTGAGTGGCATCACAATGACCTTGAGAGCTTGTTAAGAGCAGTATCCCAGGACCCCAGTGTGCCCTTGGTAATCTCCTTTTGTAGCAAGTACCTCAGAGAACTGAGGTCCTTGGTCCTCAACCACACTTGGAGAAACACTGGCCACAGCATCATGTCCAGCTCTCGTAAACATGGCCCATATGGTCTGCCCAAGCCTATCTCTTCAGTCTTCTCCTGCCCCACCCTCTTCTCTTCAAACCAGGGCTTCGAACTGGTTCGTTACATTTTGAATCCCTGCTGGGAATTTGCGTTTCCACTCCCAGATATACTGAATCAGAATCTACATTTTTATAAGACCCTGGGAATCCATAAGAATCACATGGGAATTTTGTTAAAATGTAGATTGTGATTCAGTATATTTGGAGTAGAACTGCAAATTCTCAACAAGGGGTCAAACCAAAACAAACCAGTTCAAAGCCCTGCTTCAAACTCCCCAGCTCTCCCTCTCAGTGTTCCTCGTTCCCAGAACTTGCCACGGTTCACTCCTTCACACCTATGTATATTCTGCTCTTTCAGTTGGAATCTGCTTCCACATCTCCCCCATAATCCACTTAACTTTCCAAGCTTGGTTCAGATGTCATCTCCTTTATGGAATCTTACCAGCTATTGATTTATGCTCCCATTATACCCAGAAGTCTTTTTTGTCATAGCACGTATGCTCTTTGAAGCCCATAACCTTTCAATTTTTTAAACGGTATCCTCAGTACCTACCCAGTTGGTTTATTCAGTCATTCAACATTCATTAGGCATTTCAACATGTCAGGCACTGAAGATAAAATGATTAAAAAAAAAAAAAAATCAGGCCACAACCTACTCTCATGGAAATCACATTCTAATATGGAGAAAGAAATAATAAACAGGCAAATAAAATTATTTCACACTGGGATATATGCTATAAAGAAACAAACTGGAAGATGTGTCAAGAGTGACTTGGTGGCAGAGGAAAGGATAACCAGATACAATACACAGAACATCCTCCCTAAGGAGATGATATGAGCTGAAAACAGAGGCATGATAAAGAACTAGCCATTAGGAGTGGCAAAATTCCAGACAGAGCCAACTGTAATTGTAAAGGCACCAAGACAAGAACCATCCCTGGAGAATAAAATGGATAGCAGAGTAGCTAAAGAAACAGGGTGAGGGGAAGGTGGTGATATGTAAGTTTGGGAAAGGAGATTCGATTTTATTTTAAGTGCAATGGGAAGCCATTCGTGGATCTTAAACGGGGAAGTGACATGATCTAATTTTTGTTTAAAACAGAAATCACTCTGGTAGCTATGTACAGAACAGACAGGAAGGGGACAATTTAGAAGGCTGTGAAAGTGGCAAAAGATGATGTTGGCTTGGACTAGGATGGTGGCAGAGAAGACAAAACAAATGAATTGATTCAAAATACATTTTAGAGGTAGTACTTGCTGCTAGATGGATGAGGTAAAGGAAAGAAAAGAACCAAGGGTGAGCCATAGATTTGGGGACATCTACCCAAGATAGAGATGACTACTAAAAATATTCTTTGTTTGCTTGTTTTTGTGGGGGGATTCAGAGAGCCAGTATGACATACGTTACAGGAGCAATAATATAAAGAAGGCAATTAAACATATGAATCTGGACCTTAGGCCAGGTCAGGACTGGAGATATATAGACAGTCATTGGCAAACAGATGATACTTAAAGCCACAGGGCAAATGGATCACCTTGGAAGGGAGTGCATAAAGAGAAGGGAAGGGCTCTTGGGCACTCAACATTTAGAAATCAGGTAGAAGAAAAAGAACCATGGGCCAAGAAAGGAAATAAAAAAGGAGAAGGAGATAGGAGGAAAAGAAAAGCACTAGAGTTTGATGGCCCCAGGAGCTAAGGGAGGAGACTGTTTTAAGAAAGAAGAAAAGAATAGCAGCAAATGCTGCTCAAAGGTTGACTAAGATGAGCACAAAACAGTGTCTACCAGATTTGGCAACAGGAAGGTCTTGAGAGATCTAAAAAGAACAAGAGAGGTAGAGACAAAAGCCAGATGGACAGTGAGATAAACAGTAAACGAGAAATGAGATATTGCAGAGAGTGAGCAAGTACAGACATCTTGGAGAGAATGGCAAAGCACATGAAGTGTCATTCAAACAGCCAAGCCTCTGACCCAGCCTGGCACATACCCAAAAAAACCAAACTCGCTGCCATCGAGTCGATTCTGACCCACAGCGACCCTAAAGGATAGAGAAGAACTGCCTCATAGGGTTTCCAAGGAGCACCTGGTGGATTCGAACTGCCAACCTTCTGGCTAGCAGCTGTAGCTCTTAACTACTATGCTACCAGCGTTTCCATGGTAGGTGCTTAATAAACATGTCATTAATGAGTGAACAGACCATTGCTCCCATCCCTGAGAATCTATCCTAAGAAACTAAGCCAAGACAAAACTAAAAAAAGCTACTTAAAGCTGTTATTTGGAAAATTTTCCAAAAAGTGTAAAACTGTAAATAACATTTATGTCCAACCATCAACTCAGTGGAATACTGTGCAGCATTAAAGATGATGGCTATGTGGAAGCATAAAAATGTTTATAAATAAAGATTTAAGTGGAAAAGGTGATTGAAAATTGTGTGACTATAACTATGAAGATAAGAATGTACATGAATAACTAAATGGAAATAAGAAAAGTACTAAAGTGAGAGAAATACGGATGACTATTTTTTAGGGTGATAAAGAATTAAACTAAACTAGGTAGTTGCTGTTATTCCTCTTGGAACACACCAAATAAGTCCTAACTTTGCAAAATGCGTAAGTTAGAGGCATGCAGTATGTGAGTTATAACTTTAAGTTCAAGATGAAAATGGCCTACTGAAGTTTGTTTTGAACAAGACTATTGCTGTCAGGTAAGAATTAAAAATCAGAGCCTCACAAATGCCTTAGAGCCCAGCTCAAGAGTGAATGATGGAAGAACCGAATGAATGGACCATAGTCTGAGTGTACAGATGAGCTCCAAAATCATGGGTTTAAAACCAGGTCATCCATGGATAAATCCTCTGATTTATCTGCAGCGTTTTGCATGTGTAAGTGTAATGTGAGTCACTGTCTTGATCAGATTCTCAAGACTTCCAAGATTTAAAAATGGTTAAAAACCACTGTCGTAAATGGTAAATATGCTTCCATTAAACCTTCCTTTATCACTGGCAGCCACTTCTGATTTATAGTCCAGGGTTAAATGGACTATTAAATAGGTAATGGCAGTTGCATACTTATACAGATGTATTATAAACGTGAGTAACCACGAGCATCATTCCTCACCATACAGCAGTTTTATAGAGTCTGCATGGCCAGATTAAAACGCATC